AAACACAATCGGCGCTGACAAAATTGCCAGCTGCCAGCTGCAAAAGGCCACCTTACTGGTATCTGCATGCACTGTTCGCTGATACATCACACAATCCTAGACACTTGGGAAGTGTCCGACATGTGATCCAATACAACAGTCAGCAGAGTGATCTTGTTTGCTGTGGACTCATCTTGCTGTGTTTCAAATAATAATAATAACAATAACAACAACAACATTATTCTTACAACAACAACAACAACTTTATTCTTATAGCTCGCCACCATCTCCCTGAAGGGACTCGGGGTGGCTTACAAGGAACAAGCCTGAAAATATAGGTTAAAATCCACATAACAAGAAGAAAATGACAACATCAAAAACCATCATAATCACAATACACAAATTAAAAACAGWATCATAATTGTTATTGTAAGAACAGAATAGTGCTCCCCCCCCCCCCACCTAAATATTAAAAAACGGGGAAGGGGGTGGGAAATGGGCATAGTCCAGAAAAAATAAAGTAGTATGAATTGGAAAAAATACATTAAAAAGAAAAAGAGTGAAAATAAAAATATAATTTTTTTTTAATGGGGTTATTGACTAATCTTCTCCATGGGTTTCCACTTTACCTTGTTTTCTGATTTTGCTGTGATGCTTTCCCCTCTTCATGTCTCTTCCTCTAGGGAATGGGTTGTGCTTCATTACTTAAATTCTTCTATCCACTTCATTTTTTCTTGTTTCATATGTGTGCCTTTCCAAAGTGGTTCCACAACTTATCCAGCTGTTGTATGGTTTATTGAGACTTCAGGGTGCTGGAGTTTGCATTGTCAGACGCAAGCTTCCAGTCACAAAATCTGTAAAAATAAGGACTGAGAGTAGGAGCTGTTTGACAGTGTGTGGCATCTCTTTTGAAGGTTTTTAAACAGTCGCTGGATGGCCAATTATCATGACTGTTTAGATTATATGTTCCTCCATGGAAGAGGATTGAACTGAACGGCCCTGTTGTCCATGCTACTTTGTCTTTGTCCATGAAGTGTGGGGAAATGGGGAAGAGGTTGAACTGTCAGAAATGTTAAAACTGGGTGTTTTTGATTACAGAAGTGTGAATCAAGCACTGAAAGCGTGAGTAGGCCGAAGCCCGTTAGAGTTAGTGGGCCAAAGCTAGCATCACCCTGAGGAGAGTGAGTAGGCCGAAGCCTGTTAGTGGGCCAAAGCTAGCGTCACCCTGAGGAGAGTGAGTAGGCCAAAGTCTGTTAGTGGGCCAAAGCTAGCGTCACCCTGAGGAGAGTGAGTAGGCCAAAGTCTGTTAGTGGGCCAAAGCTAGTGTCGCCCTGAGGAGAGTGAGTAAGCGAAGGCTGTTAGAGTTAGTGGGCCAAAGCTAGTGTCGCCTTGAGGAGAGTGAGTAGGCCAAAGCCTGTTAAAAGTTAGTGGGCCAAACTAGTGTCGCCTGAGGAGAGTGAGTAGGCCGATGCCTGTTAAGAGTTAGTGGGCCAAAGCTAGCATCACCCTGAGGAGAGTGAGTAGGCCGAAGCCTGTTAGTGGGCCAAAGCTAGCGTCACCCTGAGGAGAGTGAGTAGGCCAAAGTCTGTTAGTGGGCCAAAGCTAGTGTCGCCCTGAGGAGAGTGAGTAGGCCAAAGCCTGTTAAAAGTTAGTGGGCCAAAGCTAGTGTCGCCCTGAGGAGAGTGAGTAGGCCAAAGCCTGTTAAAAGTTAGTGGGCCAAAGCTAGTGTCACCCTGAGGAGAGTGAGTAGGCCGATGCCTGTTAAGAGTTAGTGGGCCAAAGCTAGCATCACCCTGAGGAGAGTGAGTAGGCCAAAGTCTGTTAGTGGGCCAAAGCTAGTGTCGCCCTGAGGAGAGTGAGTAAGCGAAGCCTGTTAGAGCTAGTGGGCCAAAGCTAGTGTCGCCTTGAGGAGAGTGAGTAGGCCAAAGCCTGTTAAAAGTTAGTGGGCCAAAGCTAGAGTCGCTCTGAGGAGAGTGAGTAGGCCGAAGCCTGTTAGAGTTAGTGGGCCAAAGCTAGCGTCATCCTGAGGAGAGTGAGTAGGCCAAAGTCTGTTAGTGGGCCAAAGCTAGTGTCGCCCTGAGGAGAGTGAGTAGGCCGAAGCCTGTTAGTGGGCCAAAGCTAGCGTCACCCTGAGGAGAGTGAGTAGGCCAAAGTCTGTTAGTGGGCCAAAACTAGTGTCGCCCTGAGGAGAGTGAGTAGGCCGAAGCCTGTTAAAAGTTAGTGGGCCAAAGATAGTGTCGCTCTGAGGAGAGTGAGTAGGCCAAAGCCTGTTAAAAGTTAGTGGGCCAATGCTAGTGTCGCTCTGAGGAGAGTGAGTAGGCTGAAGCCTGTTAAAAGTTAGTGGGCCAATGCTAGTGTCGCTCTGAGGAGAGTGAGTAGGCTGAAGCCTGTTAGAGTTTGTTTGCCTCAGTGAGGGAATTCAGTCTGGGTGAGAGAAGCCTCGTGTGATAAAGCTCCAGTGTATGAAGGCTGCTGTGTGCAAAACTACTATGTCTTTGTTTATTTTTATTATGTAAACCGTTTAAAATATGGAAGGCTGAGCAGCTGGGCAGGCAATGGGCACTGCCTTGGTGCATGTGCTTCTTGGCTTGTTACCTTGTCTCCCAACACACAATCATGGTATTCTTTCTCCCTCACTGACTCCTGGTAAACTTCTGATTTTTTCTTTCATCCCACAAAAAGTACTGCTTTATCTCACCCCACTATTTCAGACATCAGACAGGGATATTGCTGGGCTCAGGAGAACCTGCTTTGAGTATTGGGTGATACTGGGTGCATAGGGCTACATATGCAGGCCATGCCTTAACCCATGTCATTTGCTTCATAGAGTATGGTTGACTTATGACTTCATCAGACAGGGTGAATTCAGCATCCTAGGATACTTTCACCCCATGTAGATGGAATCCCATGCTGAACATCACACAAAGTTGTGTGAGTTCTGGCAGAGGCCCCAACCCCAACTGGGGTGAAAGCATTGCCGGATGCTTCATCCCAACATGTGAGGTCTCTTCATGAGGGTAATGTTTTTCCCATGTGATGGGGAAAGTGTCATGGAGAGGGAGCTGTGTGTGGGGCAACAGATTCACCCCAATGCTCCCTCTTTCCTGCTGGATGCCAGGTAAAGCGGGACGTTTCACCTGGCTTTTATGATGAGGCCCTTAGGACTGTGTATTTGTAATTGTACTGGCCATTATGTGCAAAGTCTAGTATTTACTGTGTGCTTTATTCTTCTGGACTAAGAATCAACTTCATTGTTGATATGGACAGTTATCCAAAGGGAGAGCCGAGTCAGAGGACATATTTGCAACTGCGCCACCCGCACAGTTGAAAAGATGGAAGTGGGTTCTTGGTACACAGCATATATTAAAACACAAATTTTCAGCACCAGCACCACACACTCCTTGTGCTTCTTATGGAAATATTTTACTGGTGTTACGTTCTTGCTAATGTCCTAGATATTCTTATCTGATATGCAAAACCTGTTTCCCTCTATTTCTTTTATTACTCTTCCAAGATGTGTATCACCTCTCCCATATATTTTGCAATTCCATTATCACAGTCAAGGAAAATATGAAAAGCTTAAGGATACATGTAGGGTAATGATGTGTCAATCTGTCAAGCACAGTTTAGTTTTCCTCAGGCTCCCACCTTTTCCATTTCTTACTGTTTTCAATTCCAATTTTACATCAATATGTAAAATCTATTAGCTGGAATATTCATACATATTTTTGTGTACATTTTTCAAACTATATACAGTGCCTAGATATACAGTGCCTAGATTTATATTTCCCTAAATACTTAACTAAGTAAATCCTCTTGACTGCCCAAAACCTGATAGAAACATTATTCAACCATGCTTTGATCATTAGCGCAATGGCTCTCCTCCCTGTAAGCTGAAAGTAGGCTGGGGAATGAGACACACTTGTGGCAATATGTCAAAATCGTGACTAAGCAGTGATCATGATCGCAAAACAGTTAAGAACTGAGGAAAAGGAGGGCTATTCTGCTGGTCATGGTGCTGAATGGTGTTTCTGTCAGGTTTTGGAGGGTCAAGCTAGAAGAAGTTATGTTAATTACGGTTATGTTAAATACGGTTCCGGCCCAGTGTACTTGTCCGAACGGATCTCCCTCTACATCCCACCTCGAAGTTTAAGATCGTCTGGGGAGGCCCTGCTCTCGACCCCGCCAGTGTCACAAGTGAGGCTGGCGGGGACGAGGAGCAGGGCCTTCTCAGTGGCGGCCCCCCGCCTGTGGAACTCACTCCCCGGGGAGATCAGATCGGCGACTTCCCTTCTAGCATTTAGGAAAAAACTAAAGACCTGGATGTGGGACCAAGCTTATGGTCACTCTGATAACTAACTCAAGGACCTGGCGATAGACAAGGACAAACGGAATAGAATGGATATATGGACTCTGATATATGGACTCTGACATGAGATTGTTTTAGGATTTATGATTTTATTATGTATTGATGTTTTAATTTAACTGCTGAATTGTTATATTTTTTTGGATTACTTGTGTGATTTGGGCATCTAATTGTGCCTTCCCTGTAAGCCGCCCTGAGTCCCCCTCGGGGTGAGAAGGGCGGGGTATAAGTGAATGAAATAAAATAAATAAATAAGAAATAATTCCAGCCACTATTTAGGCAACTTTTTCAGACTTAAGTAAATATCTTCTTCAATTCAAATTTTTCTAAATATATTCGTATTTGCATGTAGTTTAAAATTCACAGTTTTCCCATTGCACTTTTTCAGTAGCATGTACATTTGACCCTCCTTCCAGCATTGCAAAACTCAGGAAGGTATTGGTTTCAATGTCTAATTTTTCAATTTTATTTCAGATATAAGAAAAGTGAATTTGGTAACTTCTTATTGAAGGATACAGTAAAAACTTTCTCATTCATTCTTAACTTTCATTGCGACTGAGTGAAAGATGAAGATGTTCTGCTGTAAATGGAGTGTAAAGAAATAATAACTTAATCCTGAAAATCTAATATTCATGTGTTTCTTCTTGGAAAACAGACCATGGCAAAGAAGAGAGTGGCCATTATAGGTGCTGGCTCCAGTGGACTTTGTAGCATCAAATGTTGTTTGGATGAAGGCCTAGAGCCTGTGTGCTTTGACAGCAGCGATGATATTGGAGGACTCTGGAGGTTCAAAGTAAGTCCATTGCGAAATGTCAACTTTTTAAAAAATGGTGGATTGTTTTGATGGAGATTTGTAATTGCTGCGACAGTTCTCTTAGGAAACAAACAAAAAGCACAGTTTGAAGATAATATGGAGACAAATAGGAGTAAATACACACTAAGCATAAGGGGTCTTCTATGCAGTACTGAGTCTTCTATGCAGTACTTTCATACCACTGTACATCTCCTTTTGCTCTCTTTGTTGTTTCTCGAGAGTGCTCCCCAAAGTGGTCATTGTTGTCCTAAGGCTCTGGCAGCTAATCCTTTCTAACTGTTGCTCCATAGTCTACTTTTTCATTCTTGATGGGCAAGAGCAGCTGCTGTTACTTCAGAAAAGGTTCCCACTCAAGAGGCTCTCCCTCCCTCAGCTTTCCAACTTATGGTCTCTTGCCTTACTCTGTCTCAGATGGGGATGGAAAGCTACTTTCTCCGTGCTCATATTCCACTTTCTTCCTTCTAAATACTTCATCAGATGGGCAGCCAGAATCACCACACATCATGTCAAATCCAGCAGTGCCCGTCTGGGGTCGTGGAGAACTGGTCGCTCCACGCCTCTCATTGGCTGACTCAACGGTTGCCCCATCCCATGGGGAGAAGCATTGGCCGCCTGGCTTCCCCTCATTGTTTCAAAGGCAACATGGGAAGCCTCCTGTGTTGCTGCAGTGGTAGCAGGATACTCCGGATGTTCTATAATTTTATGACAGAGGCCCACTAGGAGTAGTTCAGTGTCATGGGATGTGAACCGGCGAGCTCCACTAGACAAGAGTCCCATGATATTCTTGCAGACAAACTAGTAAAATGTGCTAGACAGTGCTGTCATTAGATGGACTTGCAAAAGGTTGAAGGTCCAAACCTGAAGAGTGCTCATCAGTGGTTCCTCTTCATCCTGGAGAGCAGTGACCAGTGGGTTGTCTCGAGGTTCTGTCCTTGGTTCAGTATTATTCTATACTTTCATAAATGACTTTGTAAGTGGAACAGAGGACATGAGATTAGATTAAAGTAATATATAATACGCAAGATAAGAATTAGAATGCATTTTTATCAGATTGAAGATCTGAGGCAAAACTAACAAACTGAATTCCAAAAGGAATATATATAAATTACAAACATTTCCACAGGAAAAATTAAATGCACAAATTGAAGATTCATGGCACCTGGTTTGACGTACAATTGAAAAAGATCTAGGAATTTTAGGGTACATTTACACTGTAGAATTAATGCAGTTTGACACTACTTTGACTGCAATGGCTCAATATTAAGGAATAATGGATGTTAAAATTGCAATCCCATGATTCCATAGTATTCAGCAATGGCAGATAAAGTGACGTCAAACTGCATTAATTCTCTAGTGTAAATGTACCCTGTGTTTGATTTCTTTCTCTGATAGATATTGAGTGTAGGGTAGGGTTGTCTAGGGAGGTGCTCAGACTTCTGATTAGTGATCAGATGTTCTGTGTGATACACCACAATCTCTCATATTTCCTAATAGGTAATAGTTTAAAGGTGCTCTTAAACCCTTAATTGAAAGATTATCTGATTAGTGGAAAAACCCCTGTTTATTTAGCAGCTGTAACCTTGCAATTGCAATTCACACAGATTTGGACTATGGCAAAGGTTATGTGTAGCAATGCCTTTGAAAACAGTTTAAAAACTTAATTTGTTCAAAAAGAAGGCAACTTTAAAATTGCCAATCAGACTTATTGGAAACATACTATGACGGGATTTTAAAATCAGCACTGGTTGCCAGTCAATCTCTGGAACCAATGCCAAATGCTGATTAGTCTTTAAAGCCGGGTTATCAGTGGGAGCGTTTCTTTCCATTTTACTTATCTAGACTCTATTCACCCAAGGCACTTCCTCCAAATAGATAAGCTGATCAAGCAACTGACGGAAATGACCTTTTCATTACGTGCCAAGAGTGACATGCCCCCACTAAAGAGGCATGCTTTGTGTTTATCTTGTTGCCCCTCTTTGTGCTAGTTAAAAATACTCCCTTTTCTTTAGATATTAAATAACTTGTTTGTTGTTGTTCATTCGTTCAGTCGTCTCCGACTCTTCGTGACCTCATGGACCAGCCCACGCCAGAGCTCGTCGGCTGTTACCACCCCCAGCTCCCTCAAGGTCAGTCCAGTCACTTCAAGGATGCCATCCATCCATCTTGCCCTTGGTCGGCCCCTCTTCCTTTTGCCTTCCACTTTCCCCAGCATAATTGTCTTCTCTAGGCTTTCCTGTCTCCTCATGATGTGGCCAAAGTACTTCAACTTTGTCTATAGTATCTTTCCCTCCAGTGAGCAGTCGGGCTTTATTTCCTGGAGGATGGACTGGTTGGATCTTCTCGCAGTCCAAGGCACTCTCAGAACTTTCCTCCAACACCACAGCTCAAAAGCATCGATCTTCCTTCGCTCAGCCTTCCCTAAGGTCCAGCTCTCACATCCGTAGGTGACTACAGGGAATACCATGGCTTTGACTAGGCGGATCTTTGTTGCCAGTCTGATGTCTCTACTCTTTACTATTTTATCGAGATTGGACATTGCTCTCCTCCCAAGAAGTAAGCGTCTTCTGATTTCCTGGCTACAGTCTGCATCTGCAGTAATCTTTGCACCTAGAAATACAAAGTCTATACAAATACAAATACAAAGTTACAAAATAACTTGTTTATTGGGTTCAAATCTTCATACTTGTATACTACTGCTGTTTCTATTTTGGTTTTGTATGTTTTATCTTTTGGGGTTTTGATAGTTTTCTATTCTGTTGTCACCAGGCATCCTTACAGTACTGTTTTTAATATAGTCCCATACATCCTACATACTCTGTTAAGTGTGTGGTTTTATAGTGTAACTAGTATATCTACCTGGCATTGCCTGGGTGTCAGAAGGGCTGCTGCCCTCCTGCTTTCATCCTCTCCCTCGTCCCCACCAATCGCGCCTGCGATAGAGGTGGGAGTGTGAGCAGGGCCTCTCCAGATGATCGAAGGGGTCGTGTGGGTTCGTACACAGAAATGCGGTCACGCAGGTAGGAGGGTCCCAAACCATTCAGGGCTTTGTAGGTAAGAACCTGCACCTTGAATTGGGACCGGAAAATGAACGGCAGCCAGTGGAGCTCCTTAAGCAAAAGGGTTGACCGCTCCCTGTAAGGAGTACCAGTTAATAATCTGGCCGCCACCCATTGAACCAATTGAAATTTCTGGGCTGTTTTCAAGGGCAGCCCCACGTAGAGTGCATTACAATAATCCAATCTGGAGGTGACTAAGGCATGGGCCACCCTGGCCAGATCCGCCTTTACGAGGTACGGTCGCAGTTGACGCATGAGTCTTAATTGTGTAAATGCCCTCCCGGCCACCGCCGACGCCTGAGCCTCAAGCGTAAGTGATGAGTCCAGGAGGACACCCAGACTGCGGACCTGTGACTTCAGGGGGAGTGCAACCCCGTCCAACACAGGTTGCCACCTTATACCCCGATCCGGTTTATGATCAACCAGGAGGACCTCTGTCTTGTTGGGATAAATCTTCAGCCTGTTCCTCCTCATCCAGACAGCCACAGCGGTCAGACACTCGTCCCTTCCCTTCCCTTCCCTTCTTCCTTCCTTCCTTCCTGCCTTCATTCCTTCCTTCCTCTGTCTTCCCTTCCCTTTTCCTGTCTCTCTTCTCCAGCTCTGAGAAAACCTTCATCACAATATCTCCATAGCAACATTCTCTCTTTGTGACTCTTTCCTTCCTTCTTCACTTTCCCTCATACACATGTCACCTTTCTTTCCCAGTGACATCATAGAGGGCTAGTTTTCCTAGCAACAGCATTCATCTAGCAACTGCCAACACAGTTGACACCACAAAGGACCACTGGATTGACACTTTGTGGTACAGGCAGGCAGACAGAAATACTTTGACTTGTATATATCCAGCTGACACAGTCAGTGACTATATGCTCTCGTTTTGCAATATGCATAATAAGCTGCCAGCTCATTAATATCCATACCTTGTTCTATCACAAGCACCCTTCCCCACATATGTGTAATTCCTACACTTCAGTGTCTCTTTAAAGCCTAAGGACTGCATCACATTGAAGTCCTGAAGTGTGGGAACAGAAGAGGCATTAGCTGAGCAGTGGGGCAAATCCGGCAGGCAGCGTGGGAACCCATCACACTATGCCGTGCATTGCCCACTTCCCCACCCTGGGGGGGGGGGGATGAGGAGTGTCGCTGCCCAGCTTCTCAAGCTTTCCCCATTCTTCCTTATGACAACATGGGAAGACTCCTATGTTCTCAGGGCTCTGTTGTAGGACACTTTCAACATGGAGCCAGGACAGAGCCCCACCAGAAGTAGCTCTGTGTCATGTGATGGGCTCTGTCAGGCTTCATCTTGGCTCAGTGTTGAAAGTGTCCCAAGACAGAATCCAGAATTTGAGGTCATAAGTGGATATTACATTATTCATAGGGTTGGAGGCTACTTCATGGGCCATCAAGGATCTCCAGTGATGACTTCCCCAGCAAGTAGCAGCCCAGCCTTGGAGGGGACCCCACCATCTCTCTCTCTGGTGGGTTCCATTGCCAAACCACTTTTGTTGTGAAGAAATTCCTGCTAATGTCCCACTGGAACCTGTTCTCCCATAATTAAAAACTACTGGACTTGACCTACCTTCTGAGGTAGCAGAGAACAGGCATTTCCTCCATTCCCCTCTGTGACAACCCTTGAGGTATTTAAAGCACGCAGGCTTATCACCCTTAAGTCTTTCCTTCAGCAAATAAAACATACTCAACTCCTTCCACCTTTGTTCACATGTTTCGTTCTCCATACCTCTTATCATCCTTGTTGTCCTTCCCTCAACCCGTTCCAACTTATCTATATCTTTCTTGAAATGAGGCATTCAGAACTGAACGTAGTACTCCAGATAAGGATTTGTCAGTGCAGGATCTAGCGAGATTATTTTTCCTTTGACTTGGAGATTATGCTTCTATTACTATTTTGCTGCACCATCACATTACTGGCTCATGTTCAATTTAGGATTAATAATTCCAACGTTCTTTTCACATGTTGTACTGCTGAACTGTATATGTCCTGTTATATACCTATGCATTTGGGTTTTGTGGTCTAAATGTAGAATTTTGCATTTGTTCATATTGCTTTTCATTATATTAACTCTGTCCAATTTTTTTGTTTATTGAGGTCCTTTTGAATTCTATTCCCATTTTCCAAAGTATTAGCTTCCCTGCCCAGATTTGTGTCACCTGAAAATTTGATAAGTGTTCCCTGCTGGAACTTACAGTGATGGAATCCTTCACTGTAACTGTGCTAAATAAAAAGTATTTAGAATCTGGATTTTGACTTTTAATCTGGATCTTGAGAGTGTGTGGACAATAGTGGGGAAAAGAGATTGTACACAATCTCCAGCTGGATTAATGATGGGAAAATGTCTCTTTAATAAAGTAAAATCCTTACCATTAACTGGTCAAGACAGAATGTGATGCGGAAAGCAATTCTACCTTTTGGGGGTATCTCACATAGGATACTAATCTGAAAGGAACCTGTATGTACCATGAGTCATTCTACCATTTAGCTCACAGAACATGCAGGGAATAGATGAATACATTTATGGGATTCCAGAAAACATTCTATGGATATGGAGTTTAAGCTTGACTTCTTCTGTATCAATGCAGTGCTTTTTCAACTGTGTTCATTTGTGTACTTCAAAACTGAATTTCCCACATAGGAATATGACTCCATTAAACTGTGTCCAAAAACAATCCAAAACCATTATGTTCCTTGCAGGAGATTCCCGAGGAAGGCCGGGCCAGCATTTACAACTCTGTGATCATCAACACCTCCAAAGAGATGATGTGCTTCAGCGACTTCCCCATCCCTGATGATTATCCCAACTATATGCACAACTCTAAGATCCTAGACTATTTCCGGTTGTATGCTAAGCACTTTGATCTTCTGAAGTACATCCACTTCAAAGTAAGATTTGTTGGGCAAACGGGCTATTAACAAAAGACTCTCCTCATAAATGTTTAACAGAGTAACTTATCAGCAGCAGCGTGACCCAGCACCAGTAGCCAAAAGTGATAAAAAGAACAAAAACACAGAGACCAATGTTATCTCTTCCATAGGAGGCTTTTCTTTAGAGTAAAATAATATAGTTGCACTATTTACAAAAACAAGGTTTCTACAACACAAATAAAGTTCAGCTTTCACACTGGAGCTTCACACACAAGGCCTTCTCATAATGAGGCCTTCCTCACACTCTGAGGCCTTCCTCCCACAGTGAGGCCTATTACCACTGAGACTTCTCTCACACTGAGAGGCTTCTCTCACACTGAGAGGCTTCTCTCACACTGAGAGCTCTCTCAGACTGAGGTGTTACTACGCAACAGGTACGCCTGCTTATATTGTATCCATGTAGTGAAATAATATAGTTGCACTATTTACAAGAACAAGATTTACCTGAGAAACTGCAACTTGCTTCTGATGTGAGAGAATTGGCCGTCTGCAAGGACATTGCCCAGGGAACACCCGGATGTTTTGATGTTTTATCATCTTGTGGGAGGCTTCTCTCATGTCCCCGCATGAGGAGCTGGAGCTGATAGAGGGAGCTCATCTGCCTCTCCCCGGATTTGAACCTGCAACCTGTCGGTCTTCAGTCCTGCCGACACAGGGGTTCAACCCACTGCGCCACCGGGGACTTATATCGAACTACAGCTTTTGTTGAGTCATTACATCAATTTAACTCTTTCAGTTCTTGACTCACATTTTTGTAATTAAAAATACCTAGTTCATTTTTAATATTTCTGATAAGATTTGTGCGTGTGTTTAGGGATGCTTCTAGAATGTAAAAAAATGGGTTAAAGAGGTAAGATTTTAAACCTATATGTTCACTATCAAAGCAAGGGACTTCTGTCTTTTCTGTCTCCAGAAATAATTTGTTTTATAGTGCATAATGGTATCATGGCTAAGAACTAGAAGTTATTTCTGCTTTCTTAATAGCTGTTAATACACTGATTTGTCAAAATCTATTTTAATGAAACTCATGTGTACATGTGCACAGTGCATGCTCAATATGTGAGTCTTCCCTTCTCTCTGAAATAATTAAAAGAATGCCCCCCTTCTCTATGAAAACAAATGTATCCGCATTTGTTCTTGGAAGCAAATCAAGGGGTATTCTATCTTGACCAATTTTTTTCTGGAAACCAATATTCTGGGGAGTGGTTCAACTGTCATTATGAGCTCCAAATCAAATTTCTACTCCCAACTGATGTGTGCGCATGTGCATGCCTTTAAGTCATCTCTCAACTTATGGTGACTCCATTAATTTCATACAGTTTTCTTAGGCAAGGATTATTCAGAGATTACTTCCTCAGAACTCTAACCAAAAATACCTGGTACTTATTGGAAGCCACCCATTGAAGTACTAACTGGGACTGGCCTTGCTTAGTTTCCAAGACTAGACAGAATCTGATGCCTTTTGAGATATCTGAGGCCACAACAGGTAGTGTACATATAAAGCAGTGATAAATGAATTGTATATCAACAGTCATGTATATGTCATTTAGTCTACTCTAACTGGGACTATCAACTGGATTTAGGACCAAATAGGATGGTTTAAGGCTTCAGTCCCTTGAGGTCTAGTCCAATGTCCAAAGATAAAAACTAAGATTATAGAAATAAACCCTTGCCTGTCTAATCATTGCTTTTCCTCCCTTGCCTTTTTTTTTTTTTTTTGCTCCCAGACTGCTGTGCGCAGTGTAAATAGGCGTCCAGATTTCTCTAGCACTGGCCAGTGGGATGTTGTCACAGAAACTGATGGGAAGCAAGAGTCATCTGTCTTTGATGCAATCTTGGTATGCACTGGCCACCATACCGATGCACATTTGCCACTGGACTCCTTTCCAGGTATGCTTCCAATCTGCTTTTCCATGTCCGTCCTACAAAGACCCATAGAATGGAACAAAATAAAAAGGCAGAGGTGGTCTTTCTTTGCAGCAGGGTGAGGTTGGCCATCTCTGGTATCAGATTTGGAATGTCACAAGCAACGGTTAATTGCTAGTCCTAATTATAGTTCTGCTGGCAAAGTGATGAGAGCTGCATGTGGGATTTTTCAGTCTCATGTGCCAAAAGAACTTTGCTGGTTTTGGCTAGTTTGCATCATGACTTGGCAAGAGAACCATCAAGTAGCAGAATACATTGGACCAGCCCCATCACTGATGAATATCATGACCTGAAGGCACAATAGTCCTAAAATGAATTTTTGTAGTTGCCAAGTGTGCCGTTAAACCCAGATGCTTTTATAAAGACAAAACTATGATGTGCTGTTCCTTATGTCTGGGTGAACTGCTGGTGCTTTTCTTGAGAAGACTGAGATTTTCAGCAACTGAGTCTATTACAAGTACTGAACATCAAAAAGGATATTTATTTCTCAAAGTTGCAAACAGAACAGTCAATTGATAAACCAAATAGATATTTCTTCTTTCTCTTCTCCACCAGTTACTGAGTCAGCCTTTCCCCAAGTGGCAAAGGGATCCTTCACCGTAATCCAGAGCTGTTGTCTTTAAGAAAGAACAAATCTTTCCCTAACTATCTAAGTTCCAGATTAGCCTTGGAGATAAGGCAATGCAGTCTCTCTATAAGACTCTATAAAACTCAATTCTCAAAGCTCAATATCTATTTTTCTTTATACTCTATAACTCTCTTATAATCTATCTAACTATAGCTCAATTAAGCTTATCTAACTATAATTTCTCAATTCTCTATTCTCAATTCTATAACTCAATTGTTTTGTGGTGGTTTGTCAGAGCTACCTTTTCTGGCCACCAGCACATCAGATTCCTTCTTCAGAACTGAACAGGCAGGAAGGACTCCAAAATGGAAGTCTTTCCCCGGGAGCAGGGGCAGGCTCAAAGAGTTGCTCCCTAGGCCAATCATTGCAAAGAGTTTGCAGGCTGGCTTTTCCCACCTTTGGCTGTTAAACTCCAGGCCCTGCAAGGCTGCAGCAGCTCCCAAGAGAAAGGCAAGGAGCAGCCACTTCAAGCAACCAAAAAAAAAAAAAAAAGCAATGCAAACCAGTCTCCTGGGAGACGGAACACCAAGTCTTTCCACATCTCAGGCATTTCCTGTTCCGGTCAGCAGCACCTGTTCTATGCACTACCATTTCCATGGGGAATCTCAGCAGAGGAAAGTGGACTCTGGAGTTTCTTATGAATTAACCAGTCCCTGACTTATTTCCTCATTTCTATTTCTTTTAAAGATACATTCTTAACCAACATTCAATTATTTGCTATGAATTTTTGCAACATTCTTCAATGTTTAAAGTGCTTTACTGTTTTTACCTCTCAGTTGTCTTCTCCATAGGGCTGTGCTTGAACAATATGTTTTGCCATCCCAGCCAGTGATCTTCTTTGCTAATAGAATAGAACATGATTCATGATACTGGTAGTTAAGAATCTATGAGATAGTAGTTAAGAATCTATGAGATAGGAACCACACCTCTCTGGCATGCCCATGACAACTGAGAGGTAATAACAGTAAAGCACTTTAAACATTGCAGAGTGTTGCAAAAATGGATAGCAAATAATTGAATGTTGGTTAACAACAAATTATACACTCTAATTTGTTTTCCAAGTTGATCAAACTATTATGTAAAGAAATACAGTTATGTAACAAAATGCACTCCATAGGCAATTCTACACAGCCACATAATTTTGATTGGAAACGGTGCATAAAACGCCAGTTCTGGCCTGCATAGTGGAATGACAAGAATATCCTGAGCTACTGGGAAAGTGTCCCTACTGCCAGTGTCATGAAAAAGGAAGTATGGTTTGAATGGAATTGCATGACACATGTATGGTCGAGGTCCATATAGTCTAGAGATGCCATCCTAAGATGAGGCCTGGAAAACTAGAAGAAGAAGGTGAAGAATTCATAGACTATAATTAAAGGTTGCTGAACTGCTGACATTGATGACTTGTGACAATGATGAACTTTTGGGGTGAAGGACAACATGTTTACATTATCAGAGACAATGGCTCTTTAAGTTAAGGAAATGTTTATTAGGTTCCTTATGTTAATAAGGAAGTCAACACAAGGCTCCTTACATTTACCAACACCAATTAAGAAGAGTCAACATCTGTCAAGAACTGAGATGAAGCTAGACTGGAAAAAGTCTATCATTCATTTACAGCTTTTTGGAACAACATTAGCAAGAAATATTGTTATATGAGATACCTTATTACAATTCCAAAGTTGTGGCAGACCGGAGGAGTCTGGCCCACCCGCCATGCTCTATTGAAAGAAATGGTGTGGCAAATCTGCATTGGAGAGCAATCTGCATTGTCTCCTTTTCTCAAGGGAAGAGAAAGGGGTGAGATTTTGAAGTCTTGATACGTTTGCAGTGAGTCCGTTTCCGCTGTAGGGAAAACAGAGATCTGATCTTTGGCATTGTTGTTAGGGAAAGAGGATGCATTTTGGTGTTTTGGAAGTTTTAGAATTGTGCATTGGCAGGCTGCAGGGAAAGCAGGGTCTGGCCTAAGCAGGTGCTTCTCCAAGGTGGAAGAAATGATATGGTAATATTTGGATGGATTCAAGAGGATGAAAGAATGTGTATGTGTAATGTGAATGCTGAGTAAAAATGTAATTCCCCTTTGATAGCCAATTTAACTGTAGGTTGTTTGTGAATTCAATATAGTTACATAGAATCTGTATATCTGTATGTCTAAATGTTGTTCTGTAGAAGTTCTCATACCCTTTCTCTTACTGGAAAATTGCAATGAAAAGAACCTATGCTTTAAAGTTATTGAAAATCTATTTATAACACCAGCTGCCCTGAAGACAGTTTGGAATCACTGAGCAGGAATCCAAATGTCATCCATCCCCTCTCCATAGCTGTCGCTGCCATATGACTGGCAAAGGTGCTTGGGACTGGCAAAGGTGCTTGGGGGTGCCCCTCTCTTCCCCCAGATTTCTTTGCCAGTCATATGGCCCAGAAGCAGGAAGACAGGCTGCCCAGCACAATGTAGGTTCCTTGGTCATTACTGTTGCTGCCAGGGGGAGGGGGCAGTTATCCTGTGTTCCCAGGCTGCCTGAGTCAAGGATGCATGGGATGGCTGTCTGGATGCTCACAGCATGGGAATCGGCTGGTCTGCACTCCCAGAACATAGGGGGAGCCTGAACTCTGGTGCAGGATTAAACAATATTAAGTAGTTTCCCCCAGGTTAATCCAGATCAGCCCTCCTGCATTTTGTGTCTGCCCATTGGCTGATCTCATCCCACATTGACCTAAATGGTCACTGTAGGGTCAGATCAGCCCACAGGTGGTCATAAAAACTGACCAAAATGATCAGTGTAGATGGGGCCCATACCTACTGCTGGGTTCTCTTCTCTTTGTAGCCTAACGATGAACAGGAGTGAAGGGAAAGCAAACAGAAACAAAGAGGACTTTAGCCTCCTTGCTCAAGATTACTAGCAAATCTCAAATATCCTTTAATTAACCTACCAACTTGTTTGCCGGGGAACTGACTACACGCCATGCCTTCTTGGTGTGAAATTAGAGTACATATATTATAATATATGGGCATTTCCATACAGCCATATAACCCAGAATATCAAGGCAGATAATCCACATTATTTGCTTTGAACTGGATTACCAGAGTCCACACTGCCATATAATCCAGTTCAATGTGGATTTTATACAGCTGTGTGGAAGGGGCCTGAGTCAGAATTTGTGAAGTTCCTGACATTCTTAAAAGCCGATAAATGACTACAATTGTGTATGATATAGGATAATCTGAAGAAATGAATCAAATTGTAGAAGCCTGGAGAAAACAGTTACTTTTTTGACATATTCATGTAAGTGACCATCACTGTCCCTTCCTCCCCAATTCTCAAAACAAGTTCTGCAAAGTCTTTTGTCAGAGAATTAAATATTAATTTTCTTGAGAACTGTTTACTTTTTTATGGCCAAATGGAATTCAGACTCATGCAATGTTGATTTTAATATCTTATCACTCTTCTGGGCCTCACTCAATCACACGCCCTAAATAAAGTGTGAAGCCAGGAATCTTGGCCGACAGCAATGTGCTGCAGGAGTTTTTCCCTTTGATTATATTAAAATAAGCATAAACATAATAAGAGATTTTTCAACCTAAAACAATCGAAGTCACTAAATAAGCAATATAACTAAAGCACAAGTGGTGTATTATAATTACATCATAAAACTCTCTCTCTCTCTCTCTCTCACACACACACACACACATATATATACACACACACACATACATACATACATACACACACATACATACATTGCAAAGGCAATATTAGGGTCGCCCTAAATCTGAAATGACTTGAAGGCACACAACAATAATAATCCTAATTTATTTGACTATCTCATCAGCCAAAAGCAGGCCCACACTTCCCATTGAAGTACTGGCAAGTTTATGTTGGTTTTATTTTTTTTTATTTTGTGTCAGGAGCGACTTGAGAAACTGCAAGCCACTTCTGGTGTGAGAGAATTGGCTGTCTGTAAGGACAGTGCCCAGGGGATGCCTGGATGTTTTTTGATGTTTGTACCATCCTTGTGGGAGGCTTCTCTCATGTCCCCGTATAGGAAGCTGGAGCTGAGAGAGGGAGCTCATCCGCGCTGTCCCCGGATTCGAACCTGCAACCTGTCGGTCTTCAGTCCTGCTGGCACAAGGGTTTAACCCATTGCGCCACCGGGGGCTCCTGTTTTATATCGGTTAAAATTGTTCTTTATTTTAAAATTGTATTGTTTATTTCTTTTGCACTATACAAATAAGATATGAGCAGTATGCATAGGAATTTGTTCAGGTTTTTTTTTTTTCAAACTGTAGTCTGGCCCCACAACAGTCTGTGAACCAGCCCTCTGCTTAAAAAGTTTGACAAGCCCTGTACATAAGCAGAAAGCTTGAAGCGATTGATCTGGTCTGTCACACACAACCCTATGGCATTCGCTGAAACCATTTCCTTCTTTGCTACAGGGATAAGAAACTTCAAAGGGGGCTATTTTCACAGTCGTGATTACAAGAGCCCTGAGCCATTTACTGGGAAAAGAGTAATTGTGATTGGCATTGGGAATTCCGGCGGAGATCTTGCTGTGGAGATAAGCCGCAAAGCAAAACAGGTTTGCCTCAATATTGTGATCACTTTGCTTGGTTTGAGAGTCCAAGAGCGCATCAGAACCTTTGAGAAAGAACAGTAGCAGAAGGAATTAATTTTAAATATATATATCTGTAAAAAGTCTTGTGCTGAATTTGAATGTCAAACCAAATTTATTCATGGAAACATCTGTTGGGTTTGAGTCTGGGGACATGACTAAGTGACCCAAAGGCGATTTTGTCAACCATATTTAACAGAATACACAACTGTGGTCAAGGGATCAATGACAATTTTAAAAAAGAGTAAGCACCAGTCCATTTGGCTTTCAGAACTGATTCTATGAGTTTCATCATGGTGCCTTTGAACCTGGAAAAAGGTGAATGCGGAGCTGCTTGTGACAGTTAATGCCTTTCTTCTGCATCCTTATCTCACCAACTACACAGTTCAACAGGTTCCCCCAGATATCTAGAACACATTGGTCGAGTGAGGCAATGTTCTACAGAAAAAGGGAAAATTTATTCATGGAAACATCTGTTGGGTTTGAGCCTGGGGACATGAGTAAGTGACCCAAAGGCCATTTAGTCAACCATTTTTAACCAAAGACACAACTGTAGTTTTCTACTGCCTAGTCAGGACCACCCTGGTCTTTTCACAGATATATAAACCCAATTTTCCTAGTTTCCAATAGATCTGCACACTGCACACTGCACTTACCCTATAATCCTTACATATCACCTGTCACATCAGCACTTTTAATCCTGTACCCATTACTCTGGCCCGGCCCAGTTTTATAGTGTCTTGATGTATTGTTTATTGCTTGTTGTTTAATATTGCTTTAACTGTTTTTAATTTGCTTTAGGTGTTGTATTGTTATGTTGTGTTTTGAGGCCTTGGCCTTTGTAAGCCGCATCGAGTCCTTCGGGAGATGCTAGCGGGGTACAAATAAAGATAATAATAATAATAATAATAATAATAATAATAATAATCTCACAACCTCTGAGGATGACTGCCATAGATGCAGGTGAAACGTCAGGAGAGAATGCTTCTAGAACATGGCCATATAGCCCAAAAAACCTACAACAACTCAGTGATTCCAGCCATGAAAGCCTTTGAGTGGTTCTGAACCTCAATGGAGATTTGGGAATCCAAAACGTTGTGCCTCCCATTGACTTAGAGACACTGAAGCCAAGAGGCAGAAAATAGAGATGCAACTATTTCAACATATTTTTATTTATTTATTTATTTATTCCAAAAACAAACCAAAACATCTAATTTTACCACAAAAAAACTGGGAAAACGTATTGATTTGAGTATAAGCCGAGGGTAGGAAATGCAGCAGCTACTGGTAGATTTCAAAATGAAAATAGATAGCAATAAAATTACATTTATTGAGACATCAGTTGGTTAAATGTTTTTGAATATATACATAAAACTGTAATTTAAGATAAGACTGCCCAACTCTGATTAAATCATTATTCTAACCTTCTTCAATGTAAATGTGCTTATGTATCCTTCCAATATTCACCATCATTTATTTTAACTATACATGTTGGGCGAGATGCCGTGTGTATATGAATAAGAAAAATTGGGAAAGACTGGTGCCGAGAGATGAGGAGAGGAAGTACGCGTTGCACGAGAGACGAATCATAGAATCATAGAATCAAAGAGTTGGAAGAGACCTCATGGGCCATCCAGTCCAACCCTCTGCCAAGAAGCAGGAATATTGCATTCAAATCACCCCTGACAGATGGCCATCCAGCCTCTGTTTAAAAGCTTCCAAAGAAGGAGCCTCCACCGCACTCCGGGGCAGAGAGTTCCACTGCTGAACGGCTCTCACAGTCAGGAAGTTCTTCCTCATGTTCAGATGGAATCTCCTCTCTTGTAGTTTGAAGCCATTGTTCCGCGTCCTAGTTTCCAGGGAAGCAGAAAACAAGCTTGCTCCCTCCTCCCTGTGGCTTCCTCTCACATATTTATACATGGCTATCATATCCCCTCTCAGCCTTCTCTTCTTCAGGCTAAACATGCCCAGCTCCTTAAGCCGCTCTTCATAGGGCTTGTTCTCCAGACCCTTGATCATTTTAGTCGCCCTCCTCTGGACACATTCCAGCTTGTCAATATCTCTCTTCAATTGTGGTGCCCAGAATTGGACACAATATTCCAGGTGTGGTCTAACCAAGGCAGAATAGAGGGGTAGCATTACTTCCCTAGATCTAGACACTATGCTCCTATTGATGCAGGCCAAAATCCCATTGGCTTTTTTTGCCGCCACATCACATTGTTGGCTCATGTTTAACTGGTTGTCCACGAGGACTCCAAGATCTTTTTCACACGTACTGCTCTCGAGCCAGGCGTCCCCCATTTTGTATCTTTGCATTTCGTTTTTCCTGCCAAAGTGGAGTATCTTGCATTTGTCACTGTTGAACTTCATTTTGTTAGTTTTGGCCCATCTCTCTAATCTGTCAAGATCGTTTTGAATCCTGCTCCTGTCCTCTGGAGTATTGGCTATCCCTCCCAATTTGGTGTCGTCTGCAAACTTGATGATCCTGCCTTCTAACCCTTCATCTAAGTCATTAATAAAGATGTTGAACAGGACCGGGCCCAGGACGGAACCCTGCGGCACTCCGCTCGTCACTTCTTTCCAGGATGAAGAGGAAGCATTGGTGAGCACCCTCTGGGTTCGTCCATTTAGACCAATTACAGATCCACCTCACCGTAGTTTTGCCTAGCCCACATTGGACTAGTTTCCTTGCCAGAAGGTCATGGGGGACCTTGTCGAAGGCCTTACTGAAATCCAGGTACGCTACATCCACGGCATTCCCCGCATCTTACCCAGCTTGTAACTCTATCGAAAAAAGAGATCAGATTAGTCTGGCATGACTTGTTTTTGATAAATCCATGTTGACTATTAGCAATGACCGCATTTGTTTCTAAGTGTTTGCAGACCACTTCCTTAACAATCTTTTCCAGAATCTTGCCTGGTATTGACGTGAGGCTGACCAGACGGTAGTTGTTTGGGTCATCCTTTTTTCCCTTCTTGAAGATTGGGACCACATTGGCCCTCCTCCAATCTGCTGGAACTTCTCCCGTTCTCCAAGAACTCTCAAAGATGGTTGCCAATGGTTCCGAAATGACTTCCGCTAGTTCCTTCAATACTCTTGGGTGTAGTTGATCTGGCCCTGGGGACTTGAACTCATTTAGAGCAGCCAGGTATTCCTGTACGACTTGTTTCCCAATTTGGAGTTGGATGTCCTCAAATCCCTCATCCACTCCGTCTTGCTGAGGTTGAAGATGACTTTCTTTTTGTGAGAAGACCGAGGCAAAGAAGGTATTAAGTAGTTCTGCCTTTTCCCTATCCCCTGTCAGCATTGCCCCATCTTCTCCTCGAAGAGGCCCTATCGCCTCCTTGTTTTTCCTTTTTCTACTGACATAAGAAAAGAATCCCTTTTTATTGTTTTTAATGTCCCTGGCGAGCCTGAGCTCGTTTTGTGCTTTAGCCTTGCGGACCTTTTCCCTACAGCTGTTGGCTATTTGTTTGAATTCTTCTTTGGTGATTTCTCCCTTTTTCCAGTTCTTGTGCATGTCTCTTTTGTGTCTCAGCACAGTTAGAAGTTCTTTGGACATCCATTCTGGCTTCTTTGCACTTGTCCTATTTTTTCTTTTTGTTGGCACGGTTTGCAACTGCGCCTTGAGTATTTCACTCTTGAGAAACTCCCATCCATCCGTAACTCCCTTGTCTTTTAGTATCTGTGTCCACGGAATGCTGCTCAGTGTTTCCTTCATTTTTTGGAAATCAGCTCTCCTAAAGTCCAAAATGCGGGTTTGACTTGTCTTAGTTTCGGCCTTTCTTTGTACCTCAAATTGCAGGAGCACATGGTCACTTGCCCCTAAGGATCCTACCACTTCAACCACATCGAACCACGAAGAGAGGAAGGAGAGCTGGGTTGCTATGCAGAGAGGGGAGGGTCCTGGTAGGAAGGTGTGGGACTGAAAGAAGACCTTCTTTCAGCCCCACGTCTTCCCGCCAGGACCCTCACCCGAGTATAAGTCGAGGGGGGCTTCTTCAGTCTAATAATAATAATGATAATAATAATAATAATAATAATAATAATAAAACTTTATTTATATACCACTCTATCTCCCTGAGGGGGACTCAGGGCGGTTTCCAAGCAACATCACCAAAACATACAGAGTAAACAGCATAACATAAAATTAACAAAACAACATAAGCATAAAATTATCACAATAACACATATATTAAAAATAATCCTGCCTGTTCAGAGCAATTAAAAGGCCGATAAAAGAGCTGAAAAACTAGGCTTATATACTCAAGTATATACAGTACCTTTAGGGTGTGTGTATATATATATATATATATATATATATATAGAGAGAGAGAGAGAGAGAGAGAGAGAGAGTTACATTCAAAAATGTCTCTGTTCTGACTTACATACAAATTCAACTTAAGAACAAACCTACAGAGCTTTTACAATAAGAGCAGCTCTTCTATATGGAAGGTGTTCAAAGAAAGAAAGAAAGAAAGAAAGAAAGAAAGAAAGAAAGGAAAAGGAAAATAAAATAAAATAAAATAAAGATGACATTTATCTTTCTAGGTTTTCTGTGAAAATCTCAGGCATCATAAACATGGTCCTAAGTCATAAACCCATAATATATCTGAAAGCTACATGCAATATCTTATGGAGAGAACGAGTCCAAGAATCCATATCTGAGATACAGTTTTTTTCTTGTACAGATTTAAATAGAAGTAGAGTAATAAATAAACAAAACAAAAATCCTAACATCTTTCTATAATATTGTGAACATTCGCGTGGCTTCTGCTTCAGTAGTGTACTCTCTTACATGTCTAGACCTCTGTCATTCTTGCCACCCCATTACAAAACAAAATATAAGCAAACTCAATGTTACATAGCCTTTCAAGTATGTTGCAAGTTGTGGATGTTGCACCTAACAGGCCAATCTCATATCACAAGACAACAGTCAGCTGTGACAGTATCAGCTGTACTGGTGAGAACGGTATCATAAGAGCTGAGATGCAATACAACACAGGAGCCTTCCTATGTTGACGAGGAAGCGTCCTAGGATGCTTCTGTGCCAGTTGGGGTGGGGCCTCCATTGGAAGTTGGGGGACATATGTTCTAGGATGCGTAAATTGGTAAGCATGATGAGGTCCTAAGGCTCTATAGTTTCTGGGATAGTTGCAAGTGATGGAACAAAGAATATTGGGGAAAACAAATTTAAAGTTGCATGACTAACTTAATGGATCCTTTCTGCATTGTGCCTAGGTCTTCCTCAGCACTCGCAGAGGAGCATGGATAATCAATCGTGTTGGTGATAATGGCTACCCTGCAGATGTGGTGCTTACTTCCCGATATAATGTCATGCGGAAACATTTAGTTACCACCTCCATGTTAAATCAGTGGATAGAGGATAGACTGAATGCCCGATTCAACCATTCCCATTACGGCTTGAAACCTAAACACAGGTATTTTATCAATTGTTTAGATATTATTTGTTTTCTGTGCTTGGTCGAGGAGCCCAAAGTTGCTACCATATCAATATGCTACCTTTCTTTATTTTCATCATGTACTTTCCTCATTTATATCTGGCATTTCTTCTATCACAGAGCTCAAGGTGGAATACATAAATTTCCCAATTGGTCTCCTATCCAAATTCTAAGCTGCAATAGATAATAGGATTATGTGCCCTTAGGTCCTCACTTGGGACCGGGTGTTGTCTGGGACAGAAAGACCTTTTGTCTAGGACAGAAAGTATTTAATGACCTAGCAGTTTCAAGATTTGGCTTCTTACTGCCTGGGGGAATCCTTTGTTGGGAGGTGACTAGCTTGGCCTGATTGTTTCTTGGTGGCCAGTTTTTGTTCATTTTCATGGTTTTTTCCTTTCTGTTGAAATTATCCACATGCTTGTGGATTTCAGTGGCTTCTCTGTGTAGTCTGACATGGTAGTTGTTAGAGTGGTCCAGCATTTCTGCGTTCTCAAATAATATACTATAATATAGGTTGGTTCATCAAGTGCTCTGTTATGGCTGACTTCTCTGGTTGAAGTAGTGTGCCTCTGGTTGAAGTAGTGTGCCTTTCAACAGAAGGAAGAAACCATGAAATGAACAAAATCTGGTGACCAGTATTAAAAAGAAACGTCAGGAGATAATGCTTCTGGAACATGGCCATACAGCCTGGAAAATTCACAACAACCCAGTGATTCCAGCCATGAAAGCCTTTGACAACACAATTGGCATTTTTCCATTCAAGGCCATGCTGTCCAAGTGTTTGAATTGCTCTCACAGTTAGCTCTCACTTGGTCAACTTGTTCATGTAACTATCACAAAGGGATCAAATATTTATTTAGAATAAATAATCACTTGCACACCAAAAATAAAAAAAATAAAAAAATAAAAGATTGCCCTTCCAGTTGTGCTGTCTTAGGAGCCAGGCTGTACAGTGAATAACTAAGGGCAAGAAATAAATTCTGCTAATTCCACTTGATCATTAGCATTTCATATTTTTACGTTTTTCAGATTTTGGAGTCAGCATCCAACTATCAATGATGACCTCCCAAATTGCATCATTTCAGGAAAAGTACTGGTAAAACCAAATGTTTCAGAATTTACTGAAACGGCTGCCATTTTTGAAGACGGCTCTAAAGAAGAGGATATAGATTTTGTTGTCTTTGCCACTGGGTACAGTTTCTCTTTTCCCTTCCTTGGGAACTGCGTGAGAGTCGTCGAGAATAATATTGCTCTCTATAAATTTGTCTTCCCTCCTCATTTGGAGAAACCTACACTGGCTTTCATTGGGCTTGTCCAACCGCTGGGTGCCATCATGCCCATTTCTGAAATACAAGCTCGCTGGGCCACGCGTGTGTTTAAGGGTAAGATCCTTTATTTTTTTTTCTCAATCAATAGTTCCCAACCTGTGGTCCACAAGAACTAAATATGGTCCACAGCCCCACTGTTACTACACTGTTGCAACTAAAGCGACTGGTCTCGTGAAATCCTCTTACAGTGCCGAGGCTTTTTAAATATGGTTTTCTTTGGGTGAGCAGATGGTGACTACTGGATGGCATATGTTCTGTATCAGAAACTAGAGCTGATGTGGTCTATCCAATACCATTTTCTGAATCAGCACCCCAAATAACCAAACTGAATCTAAAGTTGACCAAAAACCGATTCGTAACCCTTTTGGTACTAAGTTTTTTGACCAGTTGTCCCTGGTCAAAGTGGTCCCTGGTTAAAAAAAAGGTTAGGAACCACTGTTTATTCAGCCTATCAGTTTGATTGATGGAGACAGAGTGGCCTATGGCATGTGTCAAACTCAAGGCCCCTCATGTCACTTGATGTGGCCCCCCAGATGCTACAAACCCTGTATTCCTCGTCATTAAATATTATGACTAGAGCTGAAACAAGTTGTGATACAGGAACATCTGGAAGGCTGCAGTTTGTTCTGTTGAGTCAGGAGAGAGTGGTTTGAATTTAGATACAAGGCTTGTGGATAGGATGCCTGATTTTTCCCAACCTCAGACCCACAAGTAATGTAGGATTGCAATTCCCATTGTCCCCAGTCCATCCAGTTGATAATAATAAAAAGTGATGGGAATTATTGTTCAATAACATCTGGGAATACCAACTCGGTAAAAATGAAAGAGTGCCAACCACTAGTTGGACCTCTGTATCCACAGATTCTCTGTCCATGGATTCAGTGGCCCTTTGAAGGCAACCGTATGGTTGATGTTGCCCTCACTTAAAATGGGTTTGACATCCCTGACCTATGGCACCTATCAAGCCAACCTGTTTATTATAATTCCCCTTTTACCTTCAGGAAGTGGCAGCATAACTTCCTTTTTTAAAATGCATGCCATTCAGTTGGTTGAAAACGTAGCGGAGCGCTAGTGGTCTCGTTCGAGAGGTGAGAGTATAAAGTTTTGTCCTGACACAGTTCTGTCGCCATCATGCGTTGGAACAGTGAGGAGCGTGCTTTTGCCGTCGAGGCCTACTTTTCGAGCAGATGTTCTGTGATCGCAACCCAGCGCACCTTTCAGAATTGCTTTAATTTAGCCCCATTGGCCTCTGTCCTGGACCAGAGATCAATTGTGACGTGGGCCACTACATTCAGACAAACTGCAAGTGTGACAAGACGAAGAACTGGAGTCCCTCAGCCCATTAGATCACCTGAGAACATTGAGGCAGTGAGAGCTTCAATGTTGCGATCACCACGGTGTTCTGTGCACAAACATGCGTCTGCCCTTGGACTTTCCGATCGTTCTGTGAGGAGAATTCTTCATGATGATCTTCATTTCCATCCTTACAAGATGTTGATTGTGCAGGAACTTTCTGAACGTGACTTCAATTCTCGGAGGAATGCGTGTGAGGTTCTTCTCGAAGTCGTTCCTGAGGACGCTATTGTTTTTTTTAGTGATGAAGCCCATTTTCATTTGTGAGGATCCGTCAACAAACAAAACATGCACTACTGGGCTGACAGCAATCCTCGAGAATGGCATCAAAGGCCTTTGCATTCACCTAAAATCACAGTGTGGTGTGCAATTTCCTCAGCTGGGATTATTAGTCTCTAGTTCTTTGAGGAAAATGAAGTCGCAGTGACAGTGAATTCGGACTGGTATGTAAACATGTTACAGGAATTTTTTTCCCACGGCTAGATGGGTTGGACTTAGGGGACATTTGGTTCCAACAAGATTGTGCAACTGCACACACTTCAAGAGCATCGGTGGCTGTTTTGAGGGAACACTTCCCAGAGCGCCTCATCTCAATTAGGGGGGATTTGGAGTGGCTGGCCTGCTCTCCAGATTTGGCCCCTTGTGATTTTTTTCTATGGGGTTTTTTGAAATCCCGTGTTTATGTGAACCGTCCATGGACTCTACAAGATTTGAAGACCAACATCCAGGAAGAAATGGCCAACATAACGCCTGCTATGCTGGCAAGAGTAATAACAAACGCCAGAAATCGGTTTACTCAGTGTATGGAGAATGGGGGATGTCACCTACCTAGTTTGATCTTCAAAACTACGTAAAACAAAACTTTAGGTATGCGTCTACATTATAATTTTAAAAAAAATCTGATTCATACAATGGGTTTTATTAAGTTTTGAAAAAAGGAAGTTACGCTGCCTCACCCTGTATAAGTTTGCTGAGTGAGACCCCTTGATAGCCTAAGGCGTTTTCTTAATCTGGCTTGATCCCAGTCTTCTAAAACATTTTCTTTTTATCTTGTCCTCTATTTTTCAGGAGATGCTACATTGCCACCAATAAGCGATATGTTGTCTGATTTTACAATGAAGCAAGCATGCATGCAAAAAAGGTTAGATACAAGCCTGCTGTGTACATGTGGAACACGAGAAAAAACTCACCTCCTTTTTGGTCTGAGTGGCATTCATTAGCAGCATCAGACAGCCATTATGGTTGATTATGATGGAACATTGGTGACCATAATAAGGCCTTTTTTGGCATAATGTTCTCTGCAGAAAGACTGCAGTGGCCATCTTATTGGGGTGCCACCGTTGTCTCTTTGTAGAGAATCTTATACCCAAAGCCATTATTAAAAATGATCACTCCAAGCACCTGTATGGCAGTTGACCCCCATTCAGATCAAAAAAGAAGGAAAGGAGGTAGGAGGGCTTTTCATTTCTCTGATTTTGGCAAGGGAGGAATAATGGCATGGAAACATCAATCTGTCACTGCCTTTGTTTTGCATCCCTAATAAAAGCAGGCTGCTTTCCTTCCTCTTTTCTTCACTCTTTAAATGCTGAATTTTAATTATTTGTCATTCATATTCCTTTCTCTAACAGTTTTGTATAGATGTAGGAATTTTAAGATTAGCAATGCCATTTATGCCCCTAGAATATCAAGTTATGCTTTATGAAAAAACCAAACCACACTCACTGGAGGAAGAAAGGGAAGCAGATGTACAAATTATTAAAACAGGACTCAATGTAAAGGTTGGAATACAAACTGGTTTGGGAATTAGTAATAATAATAATAATAATAATAATTCTTTGTTTATACCTCGTTTTCTCCCTCACAGGAACCAAAGCGGTTTACAGCATCTCAAAATCATACAAACAACAGACCAAATACATCAATAATAAATATGAATATTTTTTATTTTTATTGTGAAATATACATGTATGTGTGTCTATGTGTGTGTGTCTGTACACACACACAGAAACATACAATTTTCAATAATCCACAATAAAATACAAGTATTATTTCCCAGGTGGCGCAATGGGTTAAACCCTTGTGCTGGCAGGACTGTTGACCGAAAGATCAGCAGTTCAATCCGTGAGATGGGTGAGCTCCCATATGTAATCCCCAATTTGTCATGTAGGGACATGACAGAAGCCTCCCATAGGATGGTAAAACTTCTGGGCGTCTCCTGGGCAACATCCTTGCAGACAGCCATTTCTCTCGCACTATAAGAAACTTGCAATTTCTCAAGTTGCTCCTGACAGGAGCCTCCAGTGGCACAATTGGTAAAACCCTTGTGCTGGCAGGACTGAAGACTGACAGGTTGGATGTTCTGGTTTGGGAACAACACAGATGAGTTCCCTCTCTCAGCTCCAGTTCCCCATGCGGGGACATGTGAGAAGCCTCCCACAAGGATGGTAAAACATCAAACATTCGGGCATCCCCTGGGCAACGTCCTTGTAGACGGCCAATTCTCTCACACCAGAAGTGATTTGAAGTTTCTCAAGTTGCTCCTGCCAGGAGCCCCCGGTGGTGCAATGGGTAAACCCCTTGTGCCGGCAGGACTGAATACTGACAGGTTTGAGGTTCTGGTCTGGGGAGAGCACAGATGAGTTCCCTCTGTCAGCTCCAGCTCCTCATGTGGGGACATGAGAGAAGCCTCCCACAAGGATGGTAAAAACATCAAATCATCTGGGCGTCCCCTGGGCAACGTCCTTGAAGACGGCCAATTCTCTCACAGCAGAAGCAACTTGCAGTTTCTCAAGTTGCTCCTGACAGGAGCCCCCGGTGGTGCAATGGGTTAAAACCTTGTGCCAACTGGACCGAAGACTGACAGGTCGGAGGTTTATTTATTTATTTATTTATTTATTTATAATTCAAACTTATATGCCACCACTCCCCTGGGGCTCGGAGCGGCTTACAAGAACAGGTTAAAATCTAACACAATTTAAAAACAATTTAAAACAATTTAAAAACAACAACATCAGGGATCAAAGGCCTGTCGAAACAGATATGTTCAAATCCATGGAGTGTGAATGAGCTCCCTCTGTCAGCTCCAGCTCCCCATGTGGAGACATGAGAGAAGCCTCCCACAAGGATAGTAAAACATCAAAACATCTGGGTGTACCGTGGGCAATGTCCTTGCAGACGGCCAATTCTGTCACACCAGAAGTGACTTGCAGTTTTTCAAGTTGCTCCTGATGCCCCACCCTTGACTTCTCTTTATGTAATGCAAAGGTACAGGAATACTATTGAATGCAAAGGTACAGGAATAATATTGAATATTTATACCTCAGTAAGATTAATAAAATAAATATAAACACCATAAAATAAACAATTTAAAAACCAAACTACAATATACAGTCACATTTGCGTATTGCATCATGTCTGGTTATATTGTACTCTGCTCCAGTAATCACATTGTGAAGTTCTAGCAGTCAGGGTTAATTTCCCTCACTGAAAGCTGTCTAAACAGGAAATCCCTCATCGATGTCAGCTGCATTTGCGACGGTGATGGAAGTGAGAGCAGGGTTTCCCCTGAAGATCTTAAAGAACAGGCCGGTTGGTATGAGGAGTTGCGGTCAGATAAGTAAGTTGGACGTGAGCCGTTTAGGGCTTTAAAGGTCAAAACGAACACCTTGAATTTTATTATTTATTTGCGGTATTTGTATACCGCCCTTCTCATCCCCGAAGGGGACTCAGGGCGGTTCACCGTGTTGGCAACAATTCAGTGCAATTGCTAAAATGCAGTATAAAAGATCAAAATTGACCTCCCCTGATAAAATATTAAACATTATTAAATACAGCACATAAAATCACATATCACACAAAGACATAGCCATTGTTCGTAAACAGTCCTGGGTCATTGAACTTTCAACTTTCACTTTATAAACATTCCTATGATGGGCCGAACTCTTGGTTCCACAGCCAGGTCTTTAGCTGTCTCCTAAAAGTCAAGAGGGAGGGGGCTGACCTGATTGGGATCAGAAACAAATTGGCAGCCAGTGTAGATGCTGTAGTAAAGGAGTTGTGTACTCCCTGGGTCCGGCGCCTGTCAGCAGCCTGGCTGCAGCTCTTTGGACTAATTGGGAGTTTCTGGGCACTCTTTAAGGGTAGCCCCATGTAGAGCCCGGGATGGGATGTAACCAAGGCATGGACCACCATGGCCCAGTCTGGCTTCTCAAGGTATGGGCGCAGCTGGCTCACAAGTTTTAATTGTGCAAAGGCCCTCCTGGCCACCGCCGACACCTGGGCCTCCAGGCTCAGCGATGAAACCAAGAGAACTCCTATACTGTGGACCTGTGTCTTCAGGGGGAGTGTGACCCCATCCAACACAGGTTGCCACCCTATACCCTTATCTGCCTTATGACCGACCAGGGGGACCTCTGTCTTGCCTGGATTCGATTTCAATTTCTTTGTCCTCATCCAGTGCATTACAGCTGCCAGGGTCTGAGCGGCTTCCTTGGCTTTTGTTGGAAATGAGTAGTAGAGTTGGGTGTCATCTGCGTACAGATGGCGCTGAACTCCAAAACTCCGGATGATCTCTCCCAGTGGCTTCATGTAGTACAGAACATTCGGGACCCCACATAACAATGGCCCTGGGCTCGAGCAGGCATCCCCAAGGGTCACCTTCTGGGTATGACCTTCCAGGAAGGATCAGAGACACTGTAAAACAGTGACCCTTAGTCCCATCCCAGCCAGATGATCCAGAAGGATACCATGGTTGATGATATCGAAGGCTGCTGAGAGATCGAAAAGAACTAACAGGGACACACTCCCCCTGTCCAGTTCTCTGTATAGATCATCTAGCAAGGCGACCAAAACCGTCTCAGTCCCATAGCCGGGCTTAAAACCAGACTGAAATGGATCTTGATCATCCATTTCTTCCAGGAATCTCTGGAGTTGTGAGGCCACCACATGCTCTAGGACCTTGCGCAAAAAAGGGAGGTTAGAGACTGGCTGGTAATTACCCTTTTTGGGTAATTAATGACTTTTTTTAAAAGCAATGGTCTAACTATTGCTGTTTTTTGAGCCTGGTTGGAAATTTGCCTTGGGTGAGGGATGCATTAGCTACTCTCACTATCCAATCAGCCAACCCTCTTTTGGCTTGTTTGATTGGCCAGGAGGGGCAAGGATCTAAGATGCATGTGGTGGGTCTCGCTTCTCCAAGGATCCTGTCCACATCTTCAAATTGCACCAATTGTAATAAATCCATTAAAACTTGACGAGCAGGTGTCTCGGATACATCCACAAGGCACCTGTATCAATAAAGGCATCTAGGTCAGAATGGATTTGAGCGATTTCATCTGCAAAGAACCTTGAAAGCTCCTCACAGTGGGCCGTCAAGTGACTAGGGGTTCCCGCCCAATAATTGGGCTAAAGGAGTCCCCTAGCCACCTGGAAAAGCTCCATTGGACGGTTCCTTGCAGATGCAATGTTGGTGGCTGTGTAAGATTTTTCAGCCACCTTCATTGCTATGGAGTAGGACTTCCAACACACTTCAATCAGATTCGGCGTGCGTTAGGCATCACCGTTGCTTTCATCTTCTGCATATTTGCTTCATTGCCACTAGTTCCGCATTGTACCACGGAGCTGACTTGGCTTGCTCTGTGCAAGAGGATGCTCAGGAGCGATTGCGTCTATGGCCCTGGCAACCTCCATATTCCAAAGGTCTGCCAGAGCTTTGACAGAATCACCTTCCATGGAGGAAGGAAAATCCCCAGGATCCATCAGGAATCCATCTGGATTCATAAATCACCTGGGACAAACCATTTTAATTGGTCCCCCACCCCTGCAGAGGTTTAGATTCATAGTCTAAACCTGATCAGATAATGGTCAGTCCGTGACAACGGCACTATAGATAGTTCCTCCACTCCACTGCAATCTTTATCCCATCCTGTGCAGAAGACCAAATCAAACATGTGTCCAACGACATGTGGGTGGGGGGCCGGATATCACCTGGGACAGTCCCACAGTAGTCATGGCAGCTATGAAGTCCTGATCCATTCCTGACAGGCTAGTCTCCGCATGGACATTGAAGTCCATCAGCACTATCAGTTGATGGGACTCCAACGCCAAGCTAGAGACCAGCCCAGCTAGTTCAGGTAGGGACTGTTGAGCAGCGGGGTGGGTGGTACACCCACAGAATCCATTCTGTCCCAGCTGCCCACCTTTAAATAGACACATTCAAACTAGGCTAACTGTGGGACAGGGCATCTGGTCAGGGAGATGGAATCCCGATAAACCACTGCAACTCCTTCTCGTCCCCAGACCTAGCCTGCTGCTGCAGCGAGAAAATGGTCAGAGACAGTAGAGATTTACTCCTCTGGCTTCCAGGTCTTGGTAATACATGCCAGGTCAGCTTGTTCTTCTAGAAACAAATCCTGGATAATAGATGTTTTGCCATTTACTGACCTGGCGTTTAACAGCAGCAGTTTTAGCCTGGATGGATTGCCATCATAGATATCCAAGTTACTTACCAGAGGAGACAGTACAGGCCAGTTAGAAATCTACTGCCCCCCCCCCCCCTATGGTGGTAGTCAATTTGTCTCCTCCTCCCACATCTCCTACTGCCCTGAATTACCTCAGTGGTCCCTTCCTGGTCCCGGCCTATCCCTTCTACTGCATGCCTATGAATATGAAGATCATCATTGATGAAGACTTTAACTTAGGCCCAAACATTATCTTAGGACATTAGGGTATTCTATATTCGTGAGGCTAATTGCACAATAATCAATTTTTTTAGCTCTGAAATTTAATGACGTTAATGCAATGGGAGGGAAGCAAATAGGACTTTCAGCCCCCCACTGACCTCAGAGTGTGTTGTTATGTATGTAATATGTAAAACTTCACTTCATGTTTCCTGCTAGGTATGTGAAAAGCCAGCGACACACTGTCCAAGTAGACTACATTGAATACATGGATGAAGTGGCTTCTCAATTTGGAGTGAAGCCCAACGTTTGGTCTCTCCTTCTGACAGATCCCAAGCTCGCCTGGGAAATGATCTTTGGACCATGCACCCCATATCAATACCGTCTGCAAGGACCGGGGAAATGGAATCATGCCAGGAAAGCAATCTTGACGCAGCATGAGCGGGTCCTGAAGCCCTTGAAAACAAGGCCCACTGATGACTCAAATACAGTCTTGGTGCCCCTTTGGTTAAAGATGGTTGGCCTTCTTGTTCTTTTTGCTGCATTATTTGCTCATTTTTAAATGGTAAAGATCTTCACTGACAAAAAGTGGAAGTAGTGAGACTCTATCTTCTTTTTGGTTTCATCTTTTAACAAAAAGATAGCATATATGCATATGCATATATATATATGATAACAACACAACTCAAAATCCAGTTAAGACAATGTACATTTTATATTCAATCATAGCTTCTAATAAGTGCAAACCTATCTTTGCCTATGTAAGAAGTTAAAAAATCATTCTTTTCTAACTTTTTGTATTATCTGTAATTAGCTATGATACTATTAGCTGGCATATTATGCTGACACAATAGTGGGATAGAATGGCTGCAGGCACCATGGTAGCATGGAGGTTTGCATAAAATGTGATCTTTGTTGGGAGGAAGTTGGCATGCCTGATCATAAGCTGCTTGGAAGACATTATTGATCTGGCAATGAAAGCAGTTTCTCTTCTGTTTCCCATATCTCCCATCTGGTATGTGCCATTCCCAAAATTATAATGCTTCCAGGCACTGTACTATCAGTGTTTACAGAAATTGTACTTTTCTCATAAATTCCTATTTTCTATCATGGCTTTGTCAGCTCAGATGGTAATTGCAAAAAACTGGGAAAAATACAGTGGGATTTTCAGTTGTAGAACCAATAAGTAAATAAATTATGGAATGTGACATTAACTGCAAAACTAAGCAAAAAGTGTTAGAAATGCTACCCAGCAACCTGGTTTCTCTTTATTTCTTTTATCCAGAAAAGCAAAAATATGTTTGTTCCTCCAACTACTCATTTAAGTTTATGGAATGATGAACTCATGACGCATGGTGCATGGAACGATGTATTGATGATTTTATACAGTTTTATGTAATTCAACTGTGTGGTTGAGTTTGATTTTCAAATGAATGTGTGTTCCCCATTTCTGTTTATCTTAAATTTAATAAAATTACTGAGTAAAAAAAGAAATTATTGTATAGTCCATATTGAAAGCTAATAAATATATTCATAAAATAATAACGCAGCCTTCTCTAAATGTATGTGTAACTTGCTTTATTTATTTCCTATTTCAGTCTTAGATATCGCTTTCTTATGCAAAGAAGTTAGTCAGTTCTTTGTACTCCCTTAGAAGTAGAAAAGCTTCATGAGTCTCTGTATAATGCCCTTTCAAATGTAGTTAAAGAGAGTAGTCAAGAAACAGCAACAAAAAACTGAGTTACAGAAGTTGAATCTTCCCTGCTTTTTGGAGTATGGAAAGGCAGAGAATCACCCCTTCAATGCTTGTGGTCTTTGCTTCTTCCCGAATGCTGATATTTGTTCGCCGTTCTTCCCAAGAGATTTGCAGGATTTTTCGAAGGCTACTCTGATGAAATCTTTCCAGAAATTGAGAGTGATGTTTGTAGATGGTCTATGTTTTGCAGGCATACAATACAGTTGGAAGGACAATAGCTTTATAAACAAGCATGTTCACTTTAAAATGATCTAGATTAAAATTACTAACATAATAAACATGATTAAAATACATTCAAAGTTAAAACACAGCATAAAACCTGGCAAAAAAACCTGGCATAATCTCTGTTCCAAATAGATAAGAGACAACTAGGTTATCAGTCTAACAACTGAAAACCAAATTGCTTTGCATAAGTACATGTGGATATACTTACTTAGGCGATCCCATTAAGCTGTATTTCTGGCATTGGAGAGAAATTGGCTGGTGACTGCTGGAAGAGCACTTTGGTTTTCTCAATGCTTAATGATAAGCCGAGCTTCTCGTATGCTTCTGCAAGGTGTTTAGAGTGGCTTGTAGGTCTTCTTCTGAATGCGCACAGATGACATTGTCATCAGCATACTGGAGTTCTATAACAGATGTTGTTGTAACCTTGGTTTTGGCTTTCAGTCTGCTGAGGTTAAATAGCTTGCCATATGTCCGATAGATGATTTCCACTCTGGTAGGAAGCTTCCCATCTTCATCATCATGATGAAGATGGAAAATAAGGTTGGGGCAATAACACATCCCTGTTTGACACCTGATTCCACCTGGAAGAGACCACATGGGCCATCCAGTCCAACCCCCTGCCAAGAAGCAGGAATATTGCATTCAAATCACCTGACAGATGGCCATCCAGCCTCTGTTTAAAAGCTTCCAAAGAAGGAGCCTCCACCACACTCCGGGAGCAGAGAGTTCCACTGCTGAACGGCTCTCACAGTCAGGAAGTTCTTCCTCATGTTCAGATGGAATCTCCTTTCTTGTAGTTTGAAGCCATTGTTCCGCGTCCTAGTCTCCAGGGAAGCAGAAAACAAGCTTGCTCCCTCCTCCCTATGACTTCCTCACATATTTATACATGGCTATCATATCTCCTCTCAGCCTTCTCTTCTTCAGGCTAAACATGCCCAGCTCCTTAAGCCGCTCCTCATAGGGCTTGTTCTCCAGACGCTTGATCATTTTAGTCGCCCTCCTCTGGACACATTCCAGCTTGTCAATATCTCTCTTGAATTGTGGTGCCCAGAATTGGACACAATATTCTAGGTGTGGTCTAACCAAAGCAGAATAGAGGGGTAGCATGACTTCCCTAGATCTAGACACTATGCTCCTATTGATGCAGGCCAAAATCCCATTGGCTTTTTTTGCCGCCACATCACATTGTTGGCTCATGTTTAACTTGTTGTCCACGAGGACTCCAAGATCTTTTTCACAAGTACTGCTCTTGAGCCAGGCATTGTCCCCCATTCTGTATCTTTGCTTTCCGTTTTTCCTGCCAAAGTGGAATATCTTGCATTTGTCACTGTTGAACTTCATTTTGTTAGTTTTGGCCCATACTCTCTAGTCTGTCAAGATTGTTTTGAATTGTTTTGGGTCACTTTGGGAGCCATTGCTGTCCAAGACTGTTACAACACCGAAGACAAGATTTTACTCAAACGATTTTTTGGTTCTTTGTAAGAGCATACTTTTACAAAAAGTTATGATTTTCAAATAATTGTGAATGCCATTTGTTTTCCAAAGGTTATGGAGATTTTGGTTTTCCAAAATACCTGTGCCAGCAATGTCCCTCTGCAGTTTGCATTGGACAAACACTTCCATCCTAGGCCTCCTCCAACTAGCTATTTGGGCCACCAACTCCCAGAATTCCTGACCATTGAACAAACTGGCGAGGGCTTCTGGGAGTTGGAGGCCCACACTGCAGGAGAAGGCCTGCTCTATATGCAGGAAGGTAATGGACACAAATCAGACGATATAACTGAAGAGGGAGGGAGGGAGGGGGAGGCGTCCCGATTCCTATCCTTCTCTCCCTGAGGCCGTGATATCCCTGCAGAAGGGGCTTCGGACCATGCTCACATTAGGTATAACTCTCTCTTCTCTCTGCCCGCTTCCTTCATTGACTGCCGACTCCTAGACTGTTATACGTTCGCCATTCCCATTCCCAAAGAATGGCATATTTATTTTGCATAGAATTATGGAAAAAATAGACCCATGTCTGATCCCACAGCAAGCTGGTTTCAGAAAAGCCAAAAGCTGCACATCGCAAATGTTGAACCTGACTCAGCACATAGAAGATGGCTTTGAAAGGCAGCAGATCACAGGAGTTGTCTTCATAGACCTGTCAGCACCCTATGATACTGTGAACCACCGCCTCCTCCTGAGAAAAATGTATAATATCACAAAGGACTACCACCTCACCCGCCTCATACGAAACCTGCTACAAAACAGGAGCTTTTTTGTTGAGTTCCAGGGCCAGAGAAGAAGATGGCGGAAACAGAAGAACGGCCTGCCTCAGGGGAGCATGCTTGCTCCATCCATGTTCAACATCTACACAAATGACCAGCCACTGCCAGAAGAGACAGAGAGTTTCATCTATGCTGATGATAGTGCCATTACTGCTCAAGTAGGGAGCTTTGAGATGGTTGAACAGAAGCTTTCCGAAGCTCTAGGTGCTCTTACTGACTATTACAGGGAAAACCAGCTGATCCCCAACCCATCCAAAACACAGACATGTGCCTTTCATCTCAAGAACAGAGAAACATCCTGAGCTGTGAAGGAATCCCACTGGAGCATTGCAGTGCACCCAATAACCTGGGAGTCACTCTGGACTGTGCTCTTACCTACAAGAAGCACTGCCTGAACATCAAGCAAAAAGTGGGTGCTAGAAACAATATCATACGAAAGCTGACTGGCACAACCTGGGGATCACAACCAGAAACAGTGAAGACATCTGCCCTTGCGCTGTGCTACACTGCTGCTGAGTATGCATGCCCAGTGTGGAACACATCTCACCACACTAAAACAGTGGATGTGGCTCTTAATGAGACATGCCGCATTATCACGGGGTGTCTGTGCCCTACACCACTGGAGAAATTACACTGTTTAGCCGGTATTGCACCACCTGACATTCGCCGGGAAGTAGCAGCCAATAGTGAAAGGACCAAGGCAGAGACATCTCCAGCTCATCCCTTGTTTGGGTATCAGCCAGCACGTCAACGACTTAAATCTAGAAATAGTTTTCTAAGATCTACAGAGACACTCGCTGGAACACCTCAGCAAGCGAGAGTCCAAAAGTGGCAGGCTCAAACCCAGAACCTCAACCAATGGCTGATACCAAAAGAGAGACTCCCCCCTGGGCACACAGAGGACTGGGCAACTTGGAAGGCGCTGAACAGACTGCGCTCTGGCACCACGAGATGCAGAGCCAACCTTAAGAAATGGGGCCACAAAGTGGAATCCACGACATGCGAGTGTGGAGAAGAGCAAACCACTGACCACCTGCTGCAATGCAACCTGAGCCCTGCTACATGCACAATGGAGGACCTTCTTGCAGCAACACCAGAAGCACTCCAAGTGGCCAGATACTGGTCAAAGGACATTTAATCAACTACCAAACTCACACATTTTGTATTTTGTCTGTTTGTTTGCTTTGTTCTGTTAGAAATGTAATATAATTTGACTGGTTGTCCTGGCACGACAAATAAATTCCCAGAAAATGCCTCAAGACCGGAAACGGAACATATTTTCCCTTTTCCGCTTCCCGCTCTCGCTCGCTCTGTTTTCGGGGCAGGAGAGGCAAGCCGAGCAGCGTCATGCGCATGCGCAGTTCTTTTTCCTCCTCTGCCATCTTGCCCGAGGAGGAGGAGGAGGAGGCCGCCTTGAGGGTGAGTGCAGAGCTCCTCCTCAGACTTCTTCGGGAAGAAAGAGTCCCAAGGGCCCGAAGTTGCTCCGGGAGGGGAAGGAAGGGCAAGGCAGGGCTGCCATGGTGGCTTTGGGGACAAGGCTCCACCCCCCGCCCCCGGCCTGACTGAAGACATTCAAACAAGGCTCTAATTGTGTTGTCGAAGGCTTTCATGGTCGAAAACACTGGGTTGCTGTGAGTTTTTTTCGGGCTGTATGGCTATGTTCCTGTAGCATTCTCTCCTGACGTTTCGCCTGCATCTGTGGCAGGCATCCTCAGATGTTCTGTTGATGGTGAGGCAAGTGGAATGTATATACTTCCTGACTGTGAGGCTCTCACAGTCAGGAAGTATATACATTCCACTTGCCTCACCATCAACAAAACATCTGAGGATGCCTGCCACAGATGCAGGCGAAACGTCAGGAGAGAATGCTACGGGAACATGACCATACGGCTCGTTCAGCAGTGGAACTCTGCCCCAGAGTGTGAAAAAGGCTCCTTCTTCGGAAATTTTTAAACAGAGGCTGGATGGCCATCTGTCGGGGGCGCTTTGAATGCATTTTTCCTGCTTCTTGGCAGGGGGTTGGACTGGCTGGCCCATGAGGTCTCTTCCAACTCTATGATTCTATATCTCTGAGATGCGCCCAGCTGTGTTCAACATCTTTATTAATGTACTAGCTGTCCCCTGCCACGCGTTGCTGTGGCCCAGTCTGTTGATCTGGCAAATAAAGTAATGAGAAAGTGTTGGTTTCTAATATATGTAATTTCTTTCTGTTTGTGGGTAAACAGTATTTCTTGCTGTTTCTTTGTCAGTGTTCATGTGGAGAGTGTCTGGTTTGCCCACCCTGGAACATGGAACATATAGTTGTCCTCCTTAAGGGTCCCTTTCAAATCTATGATACTATATCTCTGTGTGTGAATCATATCTATCTATCTATCTATCTATCTATCTATCTATCTATCTATCTATCTATGTCTATGGCTGGATGGGTCTTTGTGAGGAGGACTTTGATTACATTTTCTTGCCCTGATGAAGGGAACTGGATTGGATGGCCTCAAGTATTTTCTGATGGTCATGGGGGTTCTGTGTGGGAAGTTTACCCTGATTCTGTCGTTGGTGGGGTTCAGAATGCTCTTTGATTGCAGGTGAACCATAAATCCCAGTAACTAAAACTCCCAAATGTCAAGGTCTATTTTCCCCAAACTCCATCTGTGTTCATATTTGAGTGTATTGAGTGCTTGTGCCAAGTGTGGTCCAGCTCCATCATTGTTTGAATCCACAGTGCTCTCTGGATGGAGGTGAACTACAACTCCAAAACTGAAGGTCAATGGCCCACCAAACCCTTCCAATATTTTCTGTTGGTCAGGG